CCTTCTGCATGAGCTGAGTGAGGAACTGGCGGCCATTCCGAGCCACGAACTGCGCCGTGAGCTTCACCACATCCAGGTCGAAGGCGGAGATGGACGGAGGGTCCGCGATGAACTCGAACTCCGGGGGCGGCTCCTTCGGAACCACCGTCTCCTGGATCACCTGGGCCTGCACCTGCAGAGGGAACGGACACAGCTCAGTGAATTCCTGCAAGGAACCATTCGAAAACACTCAGGAGAACCCATTTTTCCTTCAGCTGCTGCAGGAAAGCAACACCAGTCAAGATATCCTGGCAGCTGCATGGATGAGAAAAATCAGTACCACAGGGTCTATCTGGCCACCTGTATTTATATTATAGAAAAAAGGTTGTTCCAACAGCAAACAAAACTGGAAACCACCAGGACTTCACTTTAACCCTCCAGGATCACCAGAACCACACAGTGTTGGCTGCTGGCCATGCCAAGCCTTGGATTCAGTCCGTACCCTTTTCCCACCCAGGACATATAAAGGCACAGCTGAACGAGATGAGCAGTGTTTTGTACTTCATCTTTTAAGGGGAACTTGATCCTTCAGGCAGGAAATGCTTCTACAAAACAGTGTGTGCAACAAGCCCAAACTGAACTGCAAGGGATGCCTCTGGCAAGAGACCTAAACACATCCAGCCCAAGTGATCACTAGTGTAAGCACTGTACCAGTCAATACACAGTAATTAAAACGGACCAATTATATATTAGCTTTTTCAAACACAATTCTGAGTTACCAGCACCTGGGGGATGCGCATCTGCATCACAACAAAGCCCCAGATGCTCAACTCCAAGCCTCTCACTACTGTCTTTTTGGCAAATGCATAACCAACTCCTCCTTCTTGACTTTCAGGCCTCCTGCTCAACCCCAGGCTGTGCCAACGCCCCTCAGCAGCCAAGTTCTTCACCACAGTGCTGGAAGGAACACTCACCTTCTGTGGGAGCTGCTGCTGGGCACTCTGCTGCTGCTGCATGACCTTGGGGATGGCAGCTGAGGGCTCCTGGGCCTTGCCCTCCTTGAACTCGCTGACCTTGTGCCGGTAGTAGGCATGGTAGGGGTCGTTGGGGTTCAGGAAGTTGAACTTCGGGTTATTTATCTCATTCTGACGAATTCGGGCTTCAAATTCTGGCCCATTTCTGGGGATGAAGAAGAGAAATTGTTAAAATGAATGGGCATCAACTCAAGTGGAAATGTCTCTTTCAGAGTGAGACGTGTTGAGGCATCAGCCCCTCAGCAGAGAGTTTTGTCTGCACGTGGGAGGAGTTTATCCCTCAGGAACTCACACCTAACACAGCAGCCAGCTGGATACACACAACTTAAAAGCATTTGTCCTCCTAATTTTGTCTCTAATGTGAATATTCCTTAAGGCAGTTAAAAACTCACACTCACAAGTGTCCCACAATCTCACCTGGCTGCACACAAAGGCCATTTCCTGGACTGACCGGATGAAGTTCACAAGTTACTTACTAAACTAATTTTATTTGCTCTACTAACAAGTTTTTAAGACTAATTTCAGTTCCAGAAAGATCATATAAGGAAAAAAAACTGGTAACCATGAGGCTGTACAGGGACTGACCACCCTGGAGTGCTACATTTAGGAGAGCCCCAGTCCAGGTGCCATCCACTCCTCCCACCCAAAGCATGAGTTGTTTATTTTAGGGCAGTTTGGGAAAATTCACTGCTGCCACAGTGTGTTTCTCTTCATATTCCCTGGATACCTCCCAGTCTTGTTTAGACACTCCACCTCCTCCTCTTTACAATCCCCAAGGATAAACACAGTCCCTTCCTTATCCTCAGAGGAAGCCAACACTCCTTGGCAGCATTTGAGAGATGAGTTACACAATAAGTGTCTTTGACTAGAGCAGCATTTAGTGATTCTCTTAAACTCACAACAGCCACCACATTTCAGCACTAAAACGCAGCCATGACTCCTCTTGGCTACATCACCAAGGCTTCCCTTTCCAGCTGGGATTTGTTCTCCTCCTCAGATCAATCAGAACAGGCACTATTACTGGTTATTGCAGCACACACTGCACATTTCAACAAGAATTTTATTCATTTACTACCAGTTTATCTAGTGTGTCTTACACCTCTTCAGTAGAATTTTGTTGTTTCTTTTCCAGTCTCACTGGTCCAGACTCAAACCTTACAATCCTTCACATAAAACCACAGGACTGTGACCTGTTTCAGCTCCTGGAGCTGCCCTGAAGAGGAGAAGAATGAAAATCCCTGGAATCACCAGATCAGTGTCATTTACCTGGCTACAAAGCTGGCAGTCTTGTCCACAATATTCCTGACCTCTGGAGGAGGGTAAATAATTCCCACCACAGGCTTGGCTGGTGCTGCTTCCTCTTTAGGCTCCTCTTCTGGCTGTAATAAAAATTATTTCATTACAAAAGGTGAAGGGGTGTCAGAATTAGGCATTCCAAACAGCAATCCCAAGGGAACACAGGGCCATTTATCCATCCTCCTCCTTCTCAGCCTCCCAGGCACTGAATTCTTCCTGACACAAGATTTGGCTGAACAGCCCGAATCATCCATCCTACTAATTAATTCCTTGGTTTTTCAGGGTGGGAGACATTTGTCTGCCTGTCAGGGACACCCACTGCAGGGACAGGGACAGGAGGACAACAAGGGAGGCCCCCCATGGAAATCAAAACAATTCCTCAGGGCATTTTTACCATCTCAGCCTCAACCCTGAGTAGCTTAGCAAATATTTAAAGGGGCTCTAATAACACGTCCTGGAATATCTCAGCATTCCTAACCAGGTGTGGAAGTTCTGAATATTCCTAGAGGTGTGTGGGACTACAAGGAAGTAAAACCCGAGTGATTAAGTCCACGTTAAATAAAACACAGTTTTTAATCCTACTGTGGTTGCATCAGAAGCAGTTTCATAGAGAAAAGCTCTGCAGGGTGTTTTTCTCACTGATATTACAGGAGGATCCAAACTAAAACCCCAGAACCCTCCCTGTGGATGGCTTTCTATTCCAGTAAAACCAGAGGCTGCAGGATACTAAAGAATGTTGCTCCTTTCCTCACCAAGCAGCTTTCCAAGAAAAGCTGTTATAAGTCAGGACAGGTCTATGGGAAACTTTTATAATCCTAACAGGGACAGTCAGGGAAAACTTAAAATCCCAGTAAAGCTCCCAGCTCTGCCAAATCTATGGGGACTCCAAGGGGAAAAACAATCCCAAGTCAAACTGATCCCTGGGAGTATCCAGGGCCAGGCAGGACAAGGCTTGGAGCAACCTGGGATAGCAGGTGGTGTCCCTGCTCATGGTAGGGGGTGGATGAGATGGGCTTTAAAGTCCTTTCCAACCCAAAGCATTCCATGATTCCATGAAATATGACCTTAATAAAAGTGTTTAAAGAGAAGGGTACCATGAATATTTTTAGTTTTCATTCCCACTCCCCCAGAACATGATCCTGAGGAGCTGAAGGATCAGGCAGCACCACACTTGAGATGCTGAGTTGCCTTGGTAACGTCTGTGCATGAAACTCACAGGGTTTTTTTGGGGGGAAGCCACAATTTTCCTCCTAAATGTGTTAATACACCCAATCATCCAAGGTTTTCAGTGGGATCAGCTCCCTCTCCATCTCCACGAGGGCTGATGCTGCTGTGTGAGGGTCGGGACAGCAGCTCCAGCTGCATGGGAGCTGTATTCCCATTTCAGGAAAGGTGGGAAGAATATGAGTAAGGACAAGACAGAAAGGATCCAGGAGACTACTGGGACACACAGGAATGCCATGCTTCCTTGGACATTTAATCCTTCTGTGGGCTGCTCCCAGAGCTCCTGGTGACCCTCCACACCCATCACAATCACAGCCCTGGGGCTCTGCCAGGAGAGGGCTCAGCACCCACCCGGCTCAGCAGGATGGAGCTGCCTAGTGAGGAATCCTGGAATGCTTTGGGTTGGAAAGGACTTCAAAGCCCATCTCATCCACCTCCTGCCATGGGCAGGGACACCTTCCACTAGCCCAGGTTGCTCCAAGCCCCGTCCAAACTGGTCTTGGGCACTTCCAGGGATGGGGCACCCACAGCTTCTCTGGGCAACCTGGGCCAGGACCTCCACAACCTCACAGGGAAAGATTCCTTTCCAGTATCCAATCTCTCCCTGCCCTCTGGCAGTGGGAAGCCATTCCCTGTGTCCTGTCCCTCCATCCCTTGTCCCCAGTCCCTCTCCAGCTCTCCTGGAGCCCCTTCAGGCCCTGCAAGGGGCTCTCAGCTCTCCCTGGAGCCTTCTCTTCTCCAGGTGAACCTCCCCAGCTCTCCCAGCCTGGCTCCAGAGCAGAGGGGCTCCAGCCCTGGCAGCATCTCCGGGGCCTCCTCTGGACTCTCTCCACGTCCTTTCTGTGCTGGGATCCCAGGCTGGAGGCAGCTCTGCAGGAGGAGTCTCACCTGAGGGCTCGGGGGGCGTCAATCCCCTCCGAACCAGCCACGCACAGGGCAGAACTCCCGCCTCCCCCACACCCGCACCGAGGGGTCAGCGCGAGGGGCCAGACCCGAAACACCCGCGGTCCGCCCTGTTTTACCCCCCCCATACCCCATCCCCTCACGGCCCCCCATCCCCTCACAGCTCCCCATTGCCGCACCGGTTTGCTCTCGGCGGGGGGCGCGGGCTGCGCCGGCGGTACGGCCTGCACGGGTCCGGCCGGCATGGTGCTGCTGGGCAAGGCGGGGGCGCTTCACTGCGGGGCCGATCAGGGACAGCCGAGGATCGATCAGGGTCTATCGGGAGCCGATCGGGATCTGCCGGGACCGTCCAGGCCCTGTCGCGACACCGGCACCGACACGGGCGAAATGGCGGCCGCGGGCCCCGCGCTGCGCGTGCGCAGCGGAAGTGACGCGCGGCCGCCAGGGGGCGCACAGTGCCGGGAGTGCAGAGGGAGACGACACAGCGCGCGCGCCGTGGGCCGTACCATGAGCGGCCCCCGCGGGGGGAGCCCACACAGAGCAGGCGCGTACCACTGCGGGGCGGGGGGGAGGTTACCATGGCAACAGGGCCGGGACGCCGCGGCCTAGCCCGGCCCGGCCCCTCCTCTCCGCCGTTCACCCTGTTTCCTCCCGGTTCCCTCTGCTTCCCCCGCCCTCCTGAAGCCCCCCGGGCCCGGTAACACCGTGCCAGTCCCTTTCCAGCGGGCTGTCCCGGTAGAGCGTTCCCTCTGTCGCACACCCAGTGACCCCTCAGCACTCTGGCCTGGTGGCCCCGTGGTTCCCAGCCCGTGTCCCACCGCCCACCATGGCGCACCTGCTGGGCCACCGCGGCTGCATGGAGAGCCTGCGGGCCGACCTGCAGGACCTGCAGGCTGCCATTGCCGACGTGACCTCCCGGGCCGGCGCCGTGCGCTTCCCGTCATGGAAGTTCCCTGACAAGGTGTCCTGCGACCTGGACGTGTCGCTGCTGCTGCAGCGGTACAGGCACAGCGAGAGCGAGCCCGAGTTCAGCCAGCACTCACACGTGGTGCTGCTGGAGCTGCTCATAGACAGGTGAGACAGCTCTGAGCACCCCAGAGGGAAGGGGGGTGTGGGTCCAACCTGCTGAGCTCAGCCGAGTCCTGGGGCCAGCTTTGGGCACCTCGGTACAAGAAGGACATAAAGCTGTGTCCAAAGGAGGGCTGGGAGGATGGTGAAGGGCCTTGAGGAGAAACTGAGGGCACTTGGCTTGTTCAGCTGGAGGAGACTGAGGTTTAAAAGATGAGCCATTCCCTCACAGCTACTGGCCCTAAAAATTAGGATTGGTGTCCCAAAACTTTAGAGAGAGCCTAATCACAGCCAGTGTGCACAGCCTGACTTTGATCCCACCAAATGCTGCTCCATGGAGTGATCTCGGCCGTGGGGGGAAGGTCCCGGGAGCACCGATCCCACCCTCCTGCACCACACTGGCTTTGTGCAGGGGATGGGGAGGGGGCCAACAACCTCTCCCAGCTCCTATTTCTGATCCCTGTGGCTCCAAGCCGTGTTCTCCTGCTGGGACAGGCTCCTGCTGCTGCTGCAGAGCTTCACGGGCTACGCGGAGATGGTGCTGTGCGGGCGTGCGGTGCCGCCGGCGCGGGGCCCAGGGCCCTGCATGTCCGCAGGGCTCACGGCCAGGAGGTTCTGGAGCACCATGCTGAGACTGGGGGCCTTCTGCCAGCAGCTCCAGCACCAGGTGAGACATCTGGGGTCACCCCCCTGGGATTTGGACCGTGGTCCTTCTCTGGGACATCCTGTCCTCCAACCCTTTGAGTGCTGACCTGTGTGTCACGTCTGTCCCACACTGTGCCCTCCCCTACTCCCAGCCGTGCTGCTGGATCCATCCTCCACCAGGATCTCGGGATGGGTGAGCTTGGCTGCCTCTGTAGCTTGGAAAATATTCTCCTCCTGCCAGAATGCTGCAGTTCAGCCGACCCCAGTGAGGGGCTGAGCTGCTTCAAATCAGTGAAATAACTGGGGGTAAAAACACCATGTCCCTCCCCTGCATTTTATTTTCCCAAAAAAGTTCTTTCTTGTGGAGAAGTCTCACAATAATCCATGTGGCATACCAAGGAGACAGCATGGGGAGTGGGAAAGAAGGGATGGTCACAAGAAGGGGAGGTGGGGAGCAGCTTCTGCTGCTGAGGCTGCCCCTTGGTCACTGTCCCTTGGCTGCACTGCTGTCCCATTCCCACAGCTCACACCTCAGATTTGGGCTCTTATGGATCGTTTCCAGTTCGATCTGGGCACTGGTCCTGTTCTGTGCTCTCTCCCTCAGGACAAGGATTGCAGGAAGGAGATCCCCACACAGCAATCTCCTCCTCACTCTCTGGGCAATTCGGGCAGCTCTCAGCCCAGGGCTGGCCCCAGCCTGGCCCAGGGCACCCGCAGTGTCCCCACACAGACCTCGGGGTGCCCCCTGGGCTCCTGTGACAGCTGCTCCAGCGCCCAGGCTAGCCTGCAGGAGGTGGGCAGAGCCATCATCAGCCTCTGCCAGAGCCAGAACATCCCCTCGGCCCTCAGCAAATTCCAGGGGGTGCTGGAGGACAGCACAGGGAGAAGGAGCCTCTCTGCGACAGAGCTGAGCTACTGGGCCGCAGAGCAGAGCAAGGATCTCTCCCGGATCAACAAACACCTCCAGGAGCTGCTGCAGCAGCTGAACCCGGTGAAGGCTGAGCTGGAAGAGGTGGGGAAACAGAAGGAGGAGCTGAGGAAACAGGTGGAGGACTTTTCCCGGAAGCTGCAAGTGGAGCGGGAGACCCAAGTGCAGCAGCAGAGGAAGGCAGAGCAGAGCCTGAAAGCCAAGGACAAGGAGCATTCGGAGGCTGTGGCCAGGCTGGAGCAGGATAAGGATGATCTAAGGACAGGTACAGAGCTGTTCCCAGCATTCCCTCCCAGGCCTGGGGGTATGTGCAGGAGAAGCACAGAGTTCATGGGCAAATTTGGGCCCCACCACCAGGAGCAGGGCTTTTGCCATGGATTTTTGTAGGTGCTGGGGGATTTTCCCTGCTGTGAGCATAATCCCAGGCAGCAGGAGCTGGTTGTCCATGTCCTGTCACTGCCTCCTCCCTGCTGCAGCACAACACAATCACTGGATGAAAAAACTTTGGTGGGCCTGTTTTCTGCTTCACTTTAGTTTTTTTGAGGAGCTGATTAATTGGAGGGGTTCTTTTTGCTGATTTAGGAGTGGCTCTGCTGGAGGGGCGACTCTCCACCCTGAAGGAGGAGCTGGAGGTGAAGCAGGCAGCTCTGCAGGAGCTCGGTGAGGACCCCCAGGGTCACCCAGCATGCACATTTCCCCCACCCTTGTCCCTCTTACGGTATTTCACACCCACGTAGCCCCCAGTGCACCCAGATGAGGCTGTAGAGCTGGTAGGGATGGGCAGAGGAAGGACCACCTTCACAGCAGCGCCCCAACATCACCCAGTGCAGAATGGGCTGCTGCTAGTGGAGATTTGGGGGGGTCACAACTGTCCTGTCAGACCTTCCCCCCCTTGCCAGGACCTGTGCAGGGCATTGGGGACCCCTAAATCATAGAATCATGGAATGCTTTGGGTTGGAAGGACCTTAAAGCCCATTCAGATGCAACCCCTTCCACTGCAATTCAGTGCAATACCTTCCACTAGCCCAGGTTGCTCCAAGCCCCCTCCAACCTGGCCTTGGACACTTCCAGGGATCCAGGGGCAGCCACAGCTTCTCTGGACAACCTGGGCCAGGGCCTCCCCACCCTCACAGCCAACAATTCCTTCCCAATCTCCCATCTATCCCTGCCCTCTGGCAGTGGGAAGCCATTCCCCCTTGTCTTGTCCCTCCATCCCTTGTCCCCAGTCCCTCTCCAGCTCTCCTGGAGCCCCTTTAGGCCCTGCAAGGGGCTCTCGGCTCTCCCTGGAGCCTTCTCTTGTCCAGGTGAACCCCCCCAGCTCTCCCAGCCTGGCTCCAGAGCAGAGGGGCTCCAGCCCTGGCAGCATCTTTGTGGACCTTCCACTTGTTCCCCCCCCTGCCCAGCCTGGGCCACAGCTGCTGTGTCTCCCCAGAGCTCACCAAGGCCACCTTGCTGGAGGAGATGAGGACCACCATGGTGGCCCGGAGCCAGATGCTGGAGCTGGAGGAGAAGGTGCAGATGCTCACAGGCCAGCGGGACAGCCTGGAGCAGGAGCTGAGTGCCACCAGCTTGGAGCTGGAGAAGGAGAAGGTCCGAGTGCAGAGTGTGCTGCTGCACGAGGAGGTACTGCCGGCCCGGAGCTGTCCCCGGTGTCAGGGCAGGGGGGAGCGGGTGCCACAGCCCCACACAACCTCACCCACCCCCACAGTCCCTGCAGGCCAAGCAGAAGCTCCTGCTGCAGCAGCTTGACAGGCTGGACCGGGAGCGGGAGGAGCTGCAGAACAGCCTGGAAGAGGCCAAGGAAGACAAGGCCCGGCTGGAGGAGCAGCTGGAGCAGAGCCGGGAGCAGAGTGGGAAACAGCTCCAGGCGCAGCAGGTGAGAGCTGGTAGCCAGGTGTGGGACACAGCTGTGCCACGGGCATGTCCAGAGCCACACGGTGCCCTGACCCACACCCACAGCCAGAGCTTTCCAGGAGGGGCACTCTGGGTGACATGGTGACATTGGCACATGGTCATCCCTCCCAGGACTCTCCCTGAGCCTCTTGCAGACAGGTCTCCACTGATTTTTCCCACACCCAAGGCAGCAGAAAGGGACACCCTCAGGCTGCTCCCACATCTCCAGTGTGCCCATTCCTAAACATATTCAGTGCTGCTGCTTCCAGGTCACACAGGGACCTTAGAGCCAAGCCCCTGCACATTATTCCTGTCCCTTTCTCAACTTCATGGGACAACCTTATCACATGAGGAAAGGGAGGGAGCTTTCCATGGAGGTCTGAGTGCTCCCATGGAATTCCTCATCCTGCAAACCTCCCCTCCTCCCCACTGTGCCACGCAGGAGCTGCTGGACACGCTGCAGCAGGAGAAGCTGGCCCTGGAGCAATCCATCCTGGAGCTGCAGACAAACACGTCCCGGCTGGAGGAGCAGGCGCAGGAGCTGAGGGAGCGGGAGAGGCTCCTGGTGTTCTTCCCTGAGCTCCATGTCCCCACTGAGGCGCAGTTTGAGAGTAAGGGAGTAGAAACACCCTGGGCTAGTGCCTTTGGGGTCTCCCAGGGGATCCTGCTGGCCCCAGACACACCATTTGTCCCACTGATATCCAGGAAGAGCTCAGGCCCTGGGCTGTGCTAAGCTGTGACCGTCCCAACGTGCTTCCCTATGTGGGTGCCATGCATCCCACCTCCAGGCCAGGAATTACAGCAGGACCAGGACATGGCAGAGCTACATTTGCCTGCAGAGTTTGGGGTCCCAGCTGCCACCTCCCAGGCTGGCCCGTGCTCCCAGGCTGGGGCAGGCTCCTTTCCTTGGCAGGCAGGAGGGATGCCCACACCTCTGAGCAGGCTGAGCTCCGCTGGATTTTGCCTGCAGGCACTGGGAACTTGACGGAGGACATGGAGAATCAGCTCCAGGCCAACAGCATCCGGATCGGGGTGCTGGAGCGGGAGAACGCGCGGCTGGGCGCTGTGCTGGCCAAGGTGAAGGCGGCTGCCCAGCAGGGCGTGCTCAAGGTGAGCTGGGGCCATGGGGCAGAGAGGGTGGGTGCTGTGCACCCCAAAACCACCCCATGGCCCCCAGACATCCTCTGGGGACCGCAGGAGGGCCAGGCTGGGATCCTCATGCTGCTGGGAGGTCACTCAGCCCTGAGGTGCCCAGGGCCGGTTCCAGCAGTGACACCTCCAGGCCAGAGGCTGAGGGCTGTCACTGGAGCTGAATGCTGGGGAGATGTGGAATTTCACCCCCTCTTCTCTTCCCTGCCTCAGCTAATCCCACAGGCCCAGCTGGGGTCCCAGCTCCAAGAGAAGGCCAGTGGGCAGGACACAGGGTGAGTAGGAGCCCAGAGAAAGGGGCTGGGAGTTTCTCTGCTCTTCGTCTTCTCTAACTGCTCCCACCACTGCAGGTGGCCCAGCAGGGGAGGCAGCAGCAACAGCAGAGATAGCAGAGGGATGCTGGGATGCATGGACAAGGCCTGGCATCGAGTTCCCAGCAGCCAGCACTCCAAGGTGCTCCGGGCAGGGCCCACATTCCAGGCCAGACCCAGCCTGTCGCTCCCAGTGGGACGCCTGGGGCTCGACCCCCCCTTGCACCACACGGGGACCCACCACAAATAAACACTGATGAGCTGATCTTCTAACAGGGAAATGAACTGTTCCATGAGCAGCCACCTGCCCTGCCCAGGGGGATCTTGTTACCAGGTCTTTGTGTGTCAGGAATGCACATTCCCTTGGGAAACCCGGGCTCTGCCTGTTCCTTGTGGAGCTGCTCCAGGGACGTTCCTGGGTGCTGGAGCTCAGTCACCCTTGGCTACACTGCTGTTGGAGGCCCCAGCACAGCCCTGCCCGTGCCAACGCCTGGGCACTGTGTGTGTTAGTTCCTGCCAGGAACCATTCCCAAGAGGGGACTGGGATGTGGCCACACTTGGAAGAGGAAGGCAGAGCTGGGCTGGGATGAAGGAATCCCAGCCGCTCTCGGCCCACCAGCACAGCCACAGCCTGGAAAAGTCATTCCTCACTCCATGAGCACCCAGAGGGGCTGGGGACTACCGAGGCACTGGCACAGGCTGGCCATGACCTCCCAGCTGCCCCATGAGCCCCACACAAGCCACACAGCCAGTCCTTGCTCTGTGTTTAATAGGGATGGACACGTGCCACGCTGCAGCCTGTGGGGCAGGAGCCAGGCAGGGCTCATGGCATGTCCCCACTCACATGTTGGGTGAGAGGAGCCCAGTGGTGGCTCTGCAGCTGACTCGTGCCATCCTTTCTAATAAGTTACTGTAAATAAAGCATCCTTGCCCCCTGCCCTCCCACAGCAGGGCCATGGGTCACCCCGCAGTCCTGCCAGCCCCAGCCCTGGCAGGTCTGTCCCCCACCTCCCCGAGGGGCTGGTGCCACAGCTGGGCTCTGCCCACCCTGCCATGGCCACCAGCAAATAGACAAAAAACCCAAGACTTAGAAAAATTCCCATGAGCAGGACAAGGGTGGCAGGGTCAGGACTCTCCCTGCCCCTAGCCCCTACCCTGTTACACCCATGGGTGCCCCCGTAGCTTCCCTATCCGGCACTGCCCATCTGGACCTCCCACCCCTCTACTCACACCCATCAGAGAGCCCCGAGTCCTTCCCTCTGGTGTCCGGGCGCTGTGGTGGCACAGCCACACTGACCCAGCTCTGGCAGCAGGTGCCACTCACTGGGCACTCCCTGTCCCCTCCCTCTCCCCAGAGTGGCCGTGGGTCTGTCCCTGGAGTGTCCTCAGGCCCGCTAGCTGTCCGTGCAGCAGTTCCCTGCAAGGGAGAATGGTGGAGAGCCATGGCACAGGGAGCCTGGAGGGCTCTCAGTGCTCCCCAGCCCACGCCCCGGGGTGACCAAGGGGTCCCGGCCAGGTGCCATGGCAGTTCTCACCCAGGATGTTGCGCTTGCAGAGAGGGCAGGTCTGCTGCAGCAGGAGCCAGGGATCCACACAGTCCCGGTGGAACTCGTGGGAGCAGGGCAGCACCCGCAGCCACTGCCGGCAGGGAAGGGAGGGCACACGTGAATGGACCCAGCAGGGACACAGCCAGACCCTGGCAGGGACACAGCTGGACCCGGCAGGGACACAGCCAGACCCTGGCAGGGACACAGCTGAACCCGCCAGGGACACAGCTGGACCCGGCAGGGACACCTCGTCCCAGGGTGGCACCAGCACCAGTGCCCCCAGGGCAGGCTCCAGGCCCCCCAGTCCCACCTGGCTCTTGTGGAACTGGTCCAAGCACACAGCACAGCTATCGATCTCACAGGCCCGGCTCCGCGGCGGCTTCCCAGGGTGGTACCGCCGGGTTTTCAGCGCCAACAGCCGCTGCCGAATGTGCTGCTTCAGGTCCAGCTGCAAGGGCAGAGCCAGGGGTCAGGGGCAGAGCCAAGGGGCAGGGGCAGAGCCAGGGGGCAGGGGCAGAGCCAGGGGGCAGGGGAAGGCCTGCGTGCCACTGCCCCAGGCACAGGGCACAGTGGGGACGTTCCCACCTCGGCATCCCGCTCTGACAGGTCCTGCCGCGACTGGCGTTGTGCCTGCACCATGACCCCGGTGCAGAGTAGCAGGGCAATCAGCAGGATGGTGTTCCACAGCTGCTGCAGGTACTTCTGTGGGAATGGCACGGCAGGGGGGTTAAGCTGGAGACCTCCCCCTGCTCCCGGCCCCACCAGGACCCCCCCAGTGCCGTACCTGGACCTGCGAGCTGCTCTCCCCGGGGCAGATGACCCCCTGCCACTCCCCGTAGAGGCCCCCTCGGGACAGGCCACACGTGGACCACAGGGTGAGGGTCACCCCCTGCAAGGCAGGACACAGCATTGCTGATGGCCACGGCAGCGTCCGGTGACGGGAGCACACATGTTCCGGGAGGAGGAACGGTGGCACTGCCACCTGCCCCGCTCCCACGGGGACACTGTGACACTGTGGGGCTGGGCACTGCGCCCTGCAGCTGCTCCCTGTGCATCGGGCAAGTTTGGCTGGGCACAGCCATGCCCTGCCCTCCCACTGGGAGAGAGAGGAGGAGGAAGGACCTACATACCAGGTTCTCCAGCAGCACCGCCTGGTATGTGATCTTTGCTGTGGCCCGGAGCCCACTGTGAGCAAAAAGGAGTGTCAGTTCCATGGGCACAGCGGGATCTGGGCACAGACCACAATGCCAGGGAGCACCCCCTTCCCAGATGGGGACCAGGGGAAACAGAGGAACACACAGGAGGTAACAGCGAGACACTCCCTCCCCAGCCATGCCCAGCCCTCAGTGACCCTGCCCAGGGCTCTTCCTCCCAGCCCTGTGCCTCAGTTTCCTCATCTATGACTCCAAGGCAGCAATCCCAATGTCCCACATGTCAGGATGACCGAGGGGGTCCCACTGCTGCAGCTGGTGAGGACAAACACCCCCAGAAGTGGTGGGGGATGCCAGTGCCATGCCGAGAACCAGCCAGGTTGGATAATTTGTACTGAGAGTCCTAAAGCTCTCGGCTGAGGCCACTGTCACACCTGCTGCCATATGAGGACCCATGGAAGGGCTCCAGCCCTGGGGAAGGGCTGGATCTGACCCAAACCCCCACTGGAAACACGTGTCTCAGCCTGGCACAGCGCAGGCAACACCAGCCCAGCAAACGTGACATGCTGGGTAAGAGATCCCCAGGGCAGCCCCTGGGGATCGCAGATGGGTGGGGGACCAGGCAGGGACAAGGCAGGGACCAGGCAGGAATAGGGAAGGGACCAGGCAGGGATAGGGAAGGGACCAGGCAGGGATAAGGCAGAGACCAGGCAGGGATAGGAAGGGACCAGGCAGGGATAGGGCAGGGAAAGGCAGTGCCCAGCCCGTACCGCAGCAGCGCTCCCAGCAGCCTGGTGACGTTGTCGGAGGACTGGATGACGATGACGGGCTTGGCGAGGAGCTGGGACACGTCCAGCTGCAGGGGGAGGGGGGCAGAGCCATCAGGGGGGCCCGACCCTGGCCCAGCCCCCCAGTGGCACTGCCCTACCTCCCGGATGGCGTTCTGGTTCAGCGCTAGGATGAGCAGGGCCGAGGCCCCCAGCACCAGGGCTCGCTTCATCTGCAGGGGCAGTGGGGACACGCTCAGGGGGCAGCTCAGCGTGTCCCTTGCCAACCCCTGTCCCCATGCCTCTTTGAGGTCACAGGGGACCCAAAAGGGCCCTGTCAAGGACCCCCCTGGCACCAAGCACAAGCCAGAACCCCCAACATCTGCTGAGGAGACACCCCAAGTGACACCTCTGAAGGCTTGTGACCCACCAATACCACAGCAGCCCCCGGGCCAGGCAGAGAGAACAAGGACTAGGGCCAGGCAGAGGGGACAGGGATGGACAGAGGGGATAGGGAAGGGGCAGAGGGGATAGAGCTGGGCAGAGGGGACAGGGAAGGGGCAAAGAGTACAGGAGCTGGCAGAGGTGACAGGGATGGGCAGAGGGGACAGGACCAGGCGGAGGGGACAGGGAAAGGGCAAAGGGGACAGAACCGGGCAGAGGGGACAAGGATGGGCAGAGGGGACAGGGCTGGGCAGAGGAGACAGGGATGGGCAGAGGGGACAGGACCGGGCAGAGGGGACAGGGAAGGGGCAGAGGGGACAGGGACGGGCAGAGGGGACAGGGCCGAGCAGAGGGGACAGGGATGGGCAGAGGGGACAAGGAAGGGGCAGAGGGGACAGGGATGGGCAGAGGGGACAGGGGCCGGCAGAAGGGACAGGGGCCGGCAGAAGGGACAGGGGCCGGCAGAAGGGACAGGGATGGGCAGAGAGAATGAGGACCAGGACCAGGCAGGGGGGACAGAGATGGGCAGATGGGACAGGGCCAAGCAGAAGGTCACCTTGGTGACAACGGCGGTGGTAAAGGACTCCTCCTTGGCCCCGCGGGGGCCCTCGGACGGCTCCTCGGTGCCCACGGGCACCACCCCAATCCAGCTGTCAGCACTGCCCAGCTCCGGCTCTGCCTCACCCACCTGGGGCACGGCAGGGACCAGGACAGCCGGGATGGACACAGAGGCTTTGGGCATCCCCAAAGCACAGGGTGGCACAGGGGACAGGGCCTGGCCCTGCCTGCACCTCCCCTGTTCTGCTGGGCACCCCACCCCCTCACTGCTCAGTGTCCCCCAGTGCCCCTGGCCTCCACACCAACCCCCAGTGCCTCCCAGTGCCCTCCACTTCCCACTGCTCCACACTCCCCATTCCCCTCCCAGTGCCCAAAGATACCCCCCGTGCCCACTGCCCCAGTTCAGACCAATCCCCCTCCCTCGCACACTGATCACTAACTCCCGCCAATGCCCACTGCCCCCCAGTGTCTCCCAGTGCCCCTCAGTTCCCACTGCTCCCCTTCATCCTTCCCACCCAGGCCCCACAGCCCCTCTCTCCACTGCCCACTGCCCCCCAATGCCCACTGGTCCCCCAATGCCTCCCAGTGCCCCCCAGTACCCACCGCTCCCCCTCCGTCCCTCGCCCGTGTCCCCCGCCCCCCCAGCCCCATTCCCGGTCCCCCTCGCTCACCAGCACCAGGCGGCCGCGGATTTCCATCTCCTCCCGCTCCCCCCGCGGGCCCCCCCGGCCCGGCCCGGCCCCGCCTCCCCCCGCGCCCAGCACGGCCCCACGCAGCGTGTACGAGCCGCCGGGCGCCGCGGCCTC